TTTTCCTCTGTCTCTTGGGATCCAGGACGACGCTCGTTCCCAATTGGGCTCCTTGAAGTGTCAGCTGGCCGAGACGGAGGCCCAGCGCGACCTGGCCAGCAGCCGTGTGCAGCAGCTGCAGAAGCAGGTGGCCGCGTGCGAGGAAGGTGAGCTTGCTTCTCTCTTCCTAGGAAATATTAACGGCTGTGCTACCAGACAGGGAATCTGGGAGCGAATGCTTCCCCTTCCGCGCTTCGTTTGTTCTGCATAGGGCTTTTCTCACGGGATATACTTCGAGAAAGAAGATGAGAATATGCAAAGCCCTTTCTCCCGAATAAATACAGGTCAAGTTTTGAAAAGGTAGTTGTTAAAGAAAGTACGGTGGCCCTCGGCTGCAGCATCCGGCAGCCGAGGCAGGATGGCCACGTCTTCCCCTTGGAGGCAGTGGTTGTATGCTACCGGTTCGGCCCGGTTGTACCGAGCCGGTAGCACCAATGAGCAGCGGAGACCGAACCTTCTCTCCGCCGCTCTGCTGTTGGGCCCACCCGCCCACCGGGGCTCACATGCCCAACTTTATCTCCTACTTTTGAAGCGCAGCTGCTTTGCGTGGCATAGAAGAGTGCCATGCAAAGCTGCTGAAGACCAGGAGAGTGCAGGCTTGCAGGAGGTGAGTTGGAACGCCACCGCGTCTGCGCAAAGTGCGTGTTCGGTGTGCACGTGCACGCAAAGCGCGCCCACCGGGCCATGCCCACCGAACCAGGGGTAAAACTTTTCGAATCCCACCATCTTCTTTTGGCTTGTGCCCTTGAGGAATGGGGGCTCGGCCCACAGGGTCACTAGAGCTGCCCGCCTGCCCCAAGGAGCCCTGGGGAGCCGCATCCTGAGCCCAGGTGCTGTTCCTTCCACAGAGAGGCGCAGCCTCGATGGGAAGCTGACCGGAGCCCAGACAGCTTTGATGCTCCAGGAGGAGACCCTGCGCTGGAGTGAGCGAGAGCGCAAGGCCCAGGCAGAGAAGCTGGCTGCGCTGGAGCACGACCTACAAGCGGCCGCCAGCGAGCAGAGGGCCATGCAGGTGGGGGTGCAGGGGAAGCAGGTCTCCTCTCCAGTAAATTGGCCATGTGGGGAGCGTGTGCATGTTTCGGGGGGGGGGGGGATTCTTCCGTCCTTCTCACCCTCTGAGGAAAGGGTGGAGGTGGAAGAACCGTTGCTCCCATCTAGCTTCCTAGGAGGGCTTCCCCATCCCAGCTCCGTCTCCTGAACTCCAGTTTCTAGAACCAGCCCGCTGTGCCGTGTGCTGAGCCAAGCAGCGGCAGCAAACCCGGCTGTGTTCCCCATAGAGCTTGGCTGTTTCCCAGCCGGCCATCTCTGGATCAGCCTGGCCAGCCGGAGGCAATTAGGATCACTTTCCCCACCCTCTCCCTTGTTCCAGGAGAAACTCGGCAAGATGAAGGCCAACGAGGCCAAGCTGGAGGTGGACAAACGACGGCTGAGAGATTCCTTGGGCAGTGCGGAGAGCCGCAGCACCAAACTGGAGCTTCTGCGGAAGTCCCTGGAAGGGGAACTGCAGCGGGCCAAGGTGGTGCTGAGCGACCGCGAGGCTGAGCTCCAGCTTCTTCAGGAGCGCGTCACTCTCATGCAGAGGCAGGTGAGGTCCCCCAGGTGACCACGGGGGCCTCAGCACGACCGCCCCAGGGTCCAGTCCTACCCCCAACCCCCGTTGATGGAAGAGCACGGAGAGGAGCCTTAGGCTGCCCCGCTGCCAGCCAGCCTTACTTTGGCTCGTTCCCGCCACACCAGGTGAATGAGAGCGAGGCGAGAGCCAGCACGTTGCAGCACTCCTTGGACCAACTCAACCTCTCGCTGGCCAAGGCTGCCAATTCTGAGACTTCCCTGAAGGAGAAGGTGCAGGGGCTGACGGCCACCTTGTCCGAGAGCCAGAGCAGCTCTGTCTCGGCCCAGGAGAAGCTGCTGCAGTTGCAGAAGGCCCTGGCAGCCGGCGCGCATGAGCAGAGAGTCTTACAGGTGGGTGTGTTTTGGGCGGAAAGGCCGGGCCTCCACCGGCAGCACCTCCCTTCGCCAAAGGTGGCTGTCGCTCTGCCGAGAGAGAGAGAGAGAGACGGGCCCCCATCCCTCCATCTTATATCCCCTTCAGGAGCGACTGGACGCAGCCCGCCAGGCCCTCTTGGAAGCAAAGAAGCAGAACGGGGCGCTTTCGGAGCGCCTCCAAGCCCTGAAGGGGCAGCAGGCTGAGCTGGAGCTTCAGAAGGAGGAGCTGGAGGGGCTGGGGAGACAGCAGGAAGAGGTGAGTCGCTTGAGCCCGCGGAGATGCCCCTGGTTTGCCTTGTCACAACGAAGAGCCCGAGGTCCAGGTGGGATATGAGACGCCTCCTGGGCGTTGCTAAAGGACTGGTTTCGTTCCCGGGATCAGCGGGCAGGGACGAGTCTTGCCTGGAAAACTCGCCCTCAATGCCCTCTTCTCCCCACCTGCAGCTCCTGCGCCGACGCCAGGAGGGGGAAGCAGCGGCTCTGAGGAAGCTCCAGAAGGTACAAGAGGAGCGACGCCTACTCCAGGAGCGCCTGGGCAGTCTGCAGAAGGCCCTGGCCCAGCTGGAGAGCGAGAAACGGGAAGCCGAGCGCCTGTCCCTGCGTTTGGAAAAGGAGAAGGGCGCCCTGCGGAGGACCCTGGACAAGGTCAGCCATGCGGCTTTGGGGGAAGCGAGAGAGGAGAGGCCTTGGGGAGGCCTGGAGAGGACCGAGAGCAGGTTGCCAGAGGGGAGGGAATGAATGGGGCACGGGGGGGGGGGGGGGCTCAGCTCACGGGAGCGCCGGTTAATTGAGGGGCTCCTGCAGAGTGTTTTATACTCTCTAAATCCTCTCCCGCTGGTTGTGTGTGTGTCGCGGGAGCCTTTGTGCAGCAACTGAGGCGTGGTGGGATTGCTAGGTGGAGCGCGAGAAGCTGAAGACTCACGAGGACTCCGTACGACTGTCGGTGGAAAAGGGGCGCCTCGATCGTTCCCTCACGGGCGCAGAGCAAGAGCTGATGGGAGCCCAAGAGCAGATACGGCAGCTGGAGGTAACGGTGGCCTTGGGCTCTGGAGGGTGGCAGTCTCTGCCGGTGCCAAAAAGATCCTGCCCTGTGGATGCCTCGAAGAGTGTGTGTCTCAGCTCTTGTTTTGGCCCACCAGCAGCCAACAGAACTGGCGGCAGACTCGGGCAGTGGGGAGGAGCATGGGCCAGTCCTGGAGTCTGGGGAAGGCTCTGACGAGGGCTCTGCATTGGAGGCAGAGATGGGGCTAAACTGCCTGTCAGTTATCAGCTGCCTTTGGAGTCGGAGATCAGTGGGGCAGAAGAACAGCTGGAGCCTGTTTCCGGTGTGTGCATGCGCAGAGCTGCCAGAAGAAGGGAACAGCTAAGGAACAAGGGTTGACTCAGGAGTAAGAGCACAGGTGAACGGTAGGGAATAAAAAGCGAAAGGGGAGGAGACAATTAGTTCATTTAATTAGGGTGAAGATTTGGTTGTGACTCCTTGCCAAGTATTTTCTGGTACAGCGTTGCCCTTGGGAGCTATCGGCCTGGCAACTCTCCAAGCTCGATTAAGGTCTGCGGTTGTAAATCACTCTTGAAAGATGGTTTGCTGGGACTTTGCTGCCTGTGAATGAGAGGAATTCACATTAGTCTAAATTAAAAAAAGGGGTTTTGTCGGGATGAGGAGTCCCGCTTCATGATTTTGTGAAGCCCAGGTCAGAACAAACCCCGCCAGCTTCCTGGATAGGAACCGGGGGTGTCTACTCCCTGGCCTGCTGGAGGAAAACCGTGACTCGTCTCCTTGGAGGTCAGTGCTGGCCCAGGTGGCCAGCTGAGTGGAAGGGAGAGACTTGGAGAATGAAAGTAGGCAGGACGGGGCTGGCGAGCCAGACGGACATTAATACCGACCTCCCTTCCCTAGGTGCAAGTGGCAGAGCTGGAGCGGACCCAGGGGAAGAAGCCTCTTGGCAAAGCGGCTGCGCCACAGCGGCAGGAGAGCGAGCGCCTGAGCGGTTCCCTCCGCCCTGGAGCCAAAGGTCTGGAAGAGCAGGTGAGAGCTCCCCTCCCTCCTGGGGACTCTGGCTCCGCTGCGGTGCTGCCGCCCCTGGACTCGCCTCTTGCCTGGACCCCGAAGGGGCCCTTCTCACCCCCCACCCTCCACCCACAGATCTCGACTCTGAAGGAGCAGCTGCATCAAGGCACCAAGAAGGGGCAGCCTTATTTCCCAGCTCCCCCTCTCTTTTCCGGACACTAGCTGTGGCAGGAGCCGAGCCCCGTCATCCCTGCGGAGCGCCACGGCAAGAAGGGCCACCGACCTCCAACCCGTCAGGGCCTAGATTCACGCACAGCGCAAGGTAGTGCGAAATGCTCCTTATTTAAAAAAAAAAAATTTTTTTTTTCCAAGAAGTCCTCGGTGGTCGGATCCGAGCTGGATCAGAAGAAGAATTCGTCCCCTATAAAGACAACCGAAAAGAACCCCCTCCCGGGGGTGGTGGAAGCGAGGGGCGATCCAAGCCGGCCTGGTGCCAAGATGGCTCCATTCGTTCCGTGATGGAGAACGGGGTGGGGGAGGGGAAGGTGAGCCAGTCCTGGCCTGGTCTCTGGCTGGGGAAGGACAGATGGGCCAAGGAGCTCCTTGGCCAAGGATCATTATTTTTTTATTTAACCGTAGATCCCAATCGGGTGTGTATTTTTCTCTGTTGCGGCTCTTTAGGTAGCAGCCAATCAAGGACAGTAGAAAGTTATTTTTCTTTTATATCCGCGGAATTGTTGGTTTTACGGGCTTTGCTCCTCTTTATGTAGAAGGGGGATAGCTTGTAATGAAAGACTTGAGCGTTACCCTCCTCCCTCCCCGACCTCCAATTCTATTTGGAAGGGTCGTGAAAACACAGGGAGGAAAGGGGGGGGCGGTCCCGTAGTGCCCCCATCTTTTGCCGGGGGCAGGGGGAGGAAAATCCCAGACTTAATGAATCAAACCGTGACACATTTGGTCTATTTATTTTTTTAATCGTTTTGTAGAAAACAAAGGCGGGGGGAAGGGACAAAACGGTTCGTACAAAAAAATAAAACTTGCAATTACAAGGCAATCAAACCCATCCAGTAGGTTGTGTGAAGGTCGGCATTTCTGGAGGGGCAAGGGTTGGGTCCTTGCGGAGACCCCCGCCCGAGTCACGCCTGGAATGCGTGAGCAGCCCTACAGGTGTGTCACTGCTGTGGCAGAGGAGGGACCCCAAGAAGGGGCCGCTGTCCCTCCGGGCACGAACCAGGGGCATCATCCGTGGTCCAGAAGGGCCTCCCGTCCAGTGCCACACGGCCCCTTTCCCCGCTCAGCAGCCGCCACAGCTCCGGGCGCAAGAGGTGGCCATGGTCTGGCAAAGGCCACTGGTCGCCATGATGCCGCACTTGGAGAATCTGTCGCGACAGAGGTCGGCTGGAGGCAGGAGGGGATCCACCATCAGGACTAGAATCCCCACATCTCCTTCTCTACCCCTCCCACTTCGCCCAAGTTTTAGGCAAAGCTGCCCCCAAAGCTACTGCTGGGAAGGGGTGCCCCGAAACAGCTGCCCCTGTAACCTTCGCGACCGGAGCGCCCGGGGCCAGAGGTGGGTCTTCAGCAGGTTCTGACCAGTTCTGGAGAACTGGGAGTAGAAATTTTGAGTAGCTCGGAGAACCAGCAAATCCCACCTCTGACTGGAGATCTTACAGTATCTTTCCCCTGCCACACCCACCAAGCCACGCCCACAGAACCACAGGTAGTAAAAAAAATATGGAAGCCCGGGGGCCCTTCGTTCTCTGTGCGTACCTCTTAGGAGTTCTTCGTGAGCGCAAACCGTACGGACGCAGATCTCCTTATTGATCACGTAGACCCTGCGGAGGCTGAACGCGGACAAGGCCAGGGGATGTCTCCCTTGGCCCACACCCCTCACCACGACAGACCCATGGAAGGAAGCCTGGAAGCTGCTCCCTCCCACCTTCCCGACTTCCCACTGGGGTGCCTGAATCGGCAGGCGGCCCTCCCTCCCCTCGCCCGCCCGCAAAGCTTTCCCCGTAGGATCGGCGGCGGCTGCAGTGTTTCCTGCAGGGCCAGATTGCAAACACGCCCTCCCGAGTCAGCTTGTGGGGAGAGAAGCTTGAGGAGGGGGGGCAGGGGGAGAGGTTTGGTCCTGATCCAATTGCGGCCCCCTCACCTGTAGAAGCAGATCTCGTTCAGGCACTGTTTGCAAGGCTTGTAGATGGAATACAGCCTGGTGCAGGGGTACTGCTCCTCCTGGCAGTCTGCAGGCCAAGAGCAAGATTGGGGAGAGGGTGGGTGGGGGCTCCATTCAGTCCCAGGAGTCTTTAGCTTGCTTTGAACCCGCTCCCTCCTCCACCACCACCACCACCCCTTTCCCCAGCAGCACATCCGCCTCTCCGGGACGGAGGAAGGATCCTGGGGGGACGCCCAAACCAACTTGTTTTGTTGCCAGACCTCAGGAAGAGGGACTGATTTCAGAGCTTGGCGATCTCTTACCGAGGGGCCCTGGTTCGGTGGGCTCTGTCTCAGAAACGCCTAGGGGAAGGGGGGGGAAAAAGACCCAGATAGGAGCAAAGTGTGAGTAACTGTGTTAGCGTTGTGTGTGTGTGTGTGTGTGTGTGTGTGTGGTACGGAGGAGGCAGCTGGGCAGAAGCCAGGCAGTTGCAGAGCAGGGAGTAACTCTCTTCCAACCACCACCACCACCCCGTCCCAAGGGCTGCTCACCTGGGGTTGGGGCGGGGATGACCTCCTGCTGGTTCTGTTGCTGGGACTGGTAGTGCTCCTCAGGAGTCTGGGGGGAGAGATCTGCAGGGCAGAGGAGAGTGGGGGGGCAGTGCTTGCTTTAGCCTTTTGCCTTTACCACAGGGGTCCCCAACCCCTGGGATGCGGCCGCAGCCTGTTTGGAACCGGGCCGCACCGGCAGCGTGTGTGTGTGTGTGTGTGTGTGAATGCACGTGCGAAACTCCCCTTTGTGCGAGGGGCGGCCGCTTGCTCCCCTCGAGCAAAGCGCCCACCTACCACTCACGAGGAACTATCCTCACACACACACACGCACACTGCCGGCCCGCCGGCCCAGAAAGGTTGAGGACGGCGGCTTCACGAGGCAGGCAAGCGGGGCTGCGCCAGGTTTGGCCTCCCGGACCGACTCACCGTTCCCAGCGTAATCGTAATAATCTTGACTCTCTGAAAAGAAGGGAGAGAGAGGCCAGAGGGCCTATCAAGCTCCTGTTAGGAGACATGGGTCCATCCTCTGACCGGGATTGGCCGTGGCCCCCCCCCGGACCCTTGACAGTACTCACCAATTTCGTAAGGGGCGTACGGGGGCTCGGGATAGGCAGGGTCATCGAGGTCATACTGCCCCTGAGCCAGAAGAGCTGCTGGGAAGGGAGGAGAAACTGAGGCCGGCTGTTGCAAGGTGGCCCCACAGCTGCCCAGGTGGGGCCCTTGCCGGCATTGTCAACTCGGAGAGCCACCGCAGGCGGGCCTCCTCCTTCCCCTTCCACGCCTCTTGCCTGGGGTGTGTGTGTGTCCTTGCATATGTGACATCCGCAAAAGCTGGGCGTCCCTTTCTCCGGGGCCCCTTGCCTTGTATGTGTGAGGGACCCCTTCCCCCCCCCTCCCCAAGCCCTTGGGTAGTGGGGGAGGAAGGTCCCGGATCCCTCTGGACAGGAGGAAGGGGAAGGTCTCGGTCCAATTTGCCCCTCACCTGGCAGGCAGAGGAGGAGAAGGGCCAGAAGAGTCCTCATTCTGGGGAGGGGTGGGCTACAGAGGCAGCTGAATCAGAGCCGAGCTGAAAGACACAGGATGCTCCTTAGCTCTGGGCTTGCTGGGATTGGAAGGCAGAACCTCGTCCCCCCCTCTTTTTGCAGACTTTAAAAACTTGCCATGTCAACCGAGGAACATCCTTGGTGTGGTTCCCAAGCTTTCGTTGTTAACAGGGGCCCCCAAACTTGGCAACTTTAAGACTTGTGGACTTCAACTCCCAAAATTGTCTCCTGCAAACACTCCTCCCCTTTCGCTCCTCTTTTATTCCCTATCGGAGGGGCCATTCACCATTCACCTGTGATCTTATTCCCGAGTCAACCCTTGTTCCTTAACTGTTCCCTTCTCCTGGCAGCTCTGTGCATGCGCACACTGGGAACAGGCTCCAGCTGCTCTTCTTCCCCACTGATCTCCAACTCCGAAGGCAGCTGATAACTGTCAGACGGCCCTGGCCCCATCTCTCCCTCTGACGCAGAGCCCTCATCAGAGCCTTGCCCAGACTCCAGGAGTGGCCCATGGTCCCCCCTGCCAACCTCCTCACTGTCTGAAAGCTATGCTGGCTGGAGAATTCTGGGAGTTGAAGTCCATAAGTCTTAAAGTTGCCAAGTTTGAGGACCTCTGACTGTTAGTGTGTGTGTGCGTGGGGGGGTGGGTGGAGGCAGGGTCTGCTCCGGGCAAGGCTCGATCCATCGAAGTGCCCGGCTAGCCATGAAGGACCCCCACACACACAGCCCAGAGATTCTGCCATCAAGGATCGTGGGAACTCTTCCTATCGCTGCGTCTTTGAACCCCAACCTTCCTGGTCTGTTCAAGGAAGCCCAGAATGCTGCTTTCCAGTGGATCTCCAATGACCAAAACATCCTTTTCTCCCACCCGCCACCACCTGCTGGGATTTTTTCCTCCTATCCAACCCTGCAGGAGTGGCGAGGGAAAGCGGGCAGAAAGAAACGAAAGAAGACTCGGCCAGGCCAGCAGCTTTGGCCCAAAGCCGCTCCAGGCCAAGCGACGATGCATTCGCTTCTCGCTGCAGAGTTTAAGAGAGACCCAGGAGCAGATCCTGCTGGGTGGCTGTGCAAACTTTCCAGGGTTGTCCATTTCCCACTGCAGCAGAAAGCGCTTTTTCCCCTCCTCCCGGTGTACCAGCCTATTCTCTCCAGCGCAAAGGAGGAAGGAGCCCGAGACAAGGCTAGCCTGTAAAAGCTTCCACGCTGAGAAAAAACGGTCCGGAGAGAAGCCCAGGTTGGCTCAGCTTTCCTGCCAGACCAGGTAGGTGTGGGGAATGTGGTGCTGATGGGGGGGTGGCGGGTGGAGGTAGGGCCAGGCTACCCCAAGCCCCCAGGTCCCCTTTGCCGGACTTCTTCCCCCCAACCGCCCCCCTTGGCTTCCCTTCAAGAGGGGGAAGGGGCTCAGAGGCAGAAGTTTCCTGTTTTAGAGAAAGCAGACGCACATCTGGCAGCAATCAGCCAACTGCTGGGAAGCCAAGAATGGCCAGCAAGCCCTCTACAACTCCACCTCCCCATCCCACCCACCCACCCACTCACTCCCCCCCCTTTGCCCAAGCAGGAGAACAAAAGGGGAGCCCTCCTTTCCTGGCCGCAAGGATGTTGAATGGTCAAATTCAGAGGCAAAAGAAAATTACCCTTTTTGGTTTCTTTCTTCGGGGGAATTTTTGCCTGGCCACTGGGAAAGGGGGGGGGGGCGGGGGGGAGCAGGAGGAGAGGGGCTGGGGGCTAAAAGGTTTCTTTTGAAAGGCAAGCGTTCCCCTGCATGGAAGAAAAAAAGGGACAGCTCCGAAGAGAGCGCGTCCCCTTGCATTCCTTTGCAAGGTCTGAACCCCCCCCCTTTCCTGCCCCCACAGCCCGTGGCGCCCTTTAAGCCAACTTACCGACTTGGGGGCGGGGGGGGGGTCTTTCTCCCTCTCAGGCGGCTGGCTGGCTTTGCTCTCTCTCCTCCTCGCCCGGGTCTTGCTTTCCAAAAAGGCTGAAGGAGCCAGGCCTCCTCCTCCTCCTCCTCCACCACCGCAGCCTCCCTCCTGGGTCCTAACGCCAACTTCTCTCAAGGCAGAACTTTTCCAGAGGTTCCCCCACCCCTCCCCACCCCACCCCTCCCTCCACAGGCTGCAGCTGCAGCACGGCAGCCACGCTTCAGGGGAGGCCGGCCCCACGCAAGGTGTAGTTGTTCATCCAGTGGGGTTTTATCGCAAGTGTCCACAGCGGAGCATTGCAGCGAGCCCGCCGTGCACGAAACTCTTTCGCTGGGGCTCCCGAGTGCAATGTGCTTTTTTGGCTTGCAGGGGAGGATGGGCTGGGTAGCTCCTTCCATGGAGGCGGCGGCTTTTCGACAGAGGCTGATCCCCAAAGCCTCCAGGCTTAGAGGCAGTCTACCATCGCCTGAGACGGGTAGAAAGGATGCCTTCCTATCCCCTTGAGGGGCTCCTCTTTGGGCTTTTCTGTGGCTTGGAGGGTTCGAACGAGCTGCCCTTTCTTTCTCTGGCCAGTTTCTCCACTGCCACTGGGAATGCTGACCACAGGGGTGGGTGAGCTGTGGAAGGTTGCCTGGGAACAACCGATCGGCTTTGGCCATAGCCTGGCTCTGCCGACGGGCTTTTCCAGGCCACTTCTCAGCGGTTCGTCTCTTAGGGCAGAGAGTGGCTGCAGCAGGGCCCACGGGATGCCTGGGCGGGAAAACTCTCTGCCTGCAAGACACAGGTCAGCCCATTTCTCACTCGCCTCTTGGCCAGGCCTCGCCGGGCCACCTTTAAAGTAGACGTCCCGCCCCTCCTTGGCAATTCCCCCCCCCCACCCCCGTGTTTGTCCCAGACCGTCTTCATGCAAAGTTAACTCATTTAATACATTATTGCTTCTTGATTCTTAATTGCTTACTAAGCCCTGCTGAATATCCAACTAACTCCACGTGATTGCTAACGTTAAAAAAAGAAAAAGAAAAACTGGCAAATATATTTACATACATACATACATACCAGTGGTGGGATTCAATTTTTTTTACTACCGGTTCTGTGGGTGTGGCTTTGTGGGCGTGGCAGGGGAAGGATATACTGCAAAATCCCCATTCCCTCCCCACCCCACTAACCTGCTTTGCAGCTCCGTTCTCCTGGGCAGGGCAAACACACACACACACACACACACACACAAAAGGCTGCTCGAGGAGGAGTGGATTCAAGGAAGACGTCACCCACCCACCCTCCCCAGAGTGGCCAGAAATCTTGGTACTTCTCATGGCTTCGGCTGAGAGGTTGGTGAAGATTGGTCCTCTACAGCACAGCAACTCCGCTATCGGTTGTGTGGCTTAAAGAGAAATGCAAGTTTGTTCCCTTCTCCGATGTTCTTACAAAAGTGAGAAATGCCACAGGGGAAGAGGAGTCTCAGAGTTGCCTTGGTCCGTCGATGGAGAATCCCAGCGGATCTCGGGAGAGGATCTGCTGGGAGAAAGGAGCTAGATCCAAAAAGGAACCTCGGCAGAGACTCAGCGGGCCTTCCCTCCACGCAGAAAGTCACCGACTAGCGTCATCTTGCAGCCGAGGAGTGTCTGTTGGGGGCAAAGACAGGCGTGTGGAGAGGCGGCCATGAGCTCTTCTCCTGGCTAAGCTCCCACTGCAGCTGCTTGTACAGCTTTTTCGATGCCTTCTTGCGTCGCAGCTTCCGGAAACCGTTCAGCAGGCCGTGGTCCAAGCCCACCTGTGGAAGAAACAGACCAGGAACGGGTGACGCTTGGAGCCGCCGTGGCTGGTGACGGTGGTCGCCTGGTGCTCCAAGGAAGTCCACCGCCGCTCGCTCTCCTCCCTGTAGCCCTCAGCCGCTCAGCCGTTTCGGTCACCTAGTTACTATCTTTGAAAACATTTATGGAATGCAGTTTCAGTGTGCAAGCTGTCGCACTGCTCTTTCAAACCCCTTTCCCTCCTCCCTTTCTGTTGGCAACTCTAAAAGACCATAGAAATATTTTATGAGTTGACAGCAAGAGCCTCCTCCGGTCTGGGGTCATCTCAGCCAGGAGGGTCCTTCAGTTGCTCGCCAGGAGTTCCAATGCAGGCCTCCCTTGTTCTAGCGCATCGGGTGAATCGGTTTGTGTTTCCCTTCTGGGGCTCAGTGGAGGCCCATTTTCCCAAGCCAAGCCTGCCCAGCCACAGCGAAAAGGGTCTTGGCTTGGCCTTTACAAAAAGACCTCAATGAACTGCTTCCATTGCCCTGGACAACATCTTAAACGTCTACTTCCCCAGCTTTGTGGCTCCTTCGTTACCTCCAATATGAAAGCCGTGAAGAAGTGGAGAGCAGCCATTCCCAGCAAGATCACTTTGAAGCTCAGGTCGCCAGCGTTCTTCAGGCACAGGAACTTTTTCATGAAGGCCAGTGGGTAGACGGTCAACCAGATCATGACGCCAGCGAGCAAGAGCAAAGCCATCAAAAACGGCACTGGAGAGAGCGAGAGACACAGGCGAGGCTTTGGCGGGGCCAGGCAGAAGAGAAACAGGGCCTGGCTCATCCAGGGCCTCCAGCTGGCAGAGCTGCTGAGCGGAAGCACTCACCATTGGTATAAAGTGGCTTGCGGAAAGGGCGGCCTTTGGACACGATCACCGCCAGGATGAGGTACTGGAACCCCGAGGTGCAGAAGACAACAGTGTTCTCATAATTGGGGAGGTTTGCAGGGGCTGACAGAGTGCTGTTCAGAGGGGTGAACCTGAGAGGGAAGTGAGAAACAGAGGTGGTATTCAGCTGATTCTGACCAGTCCTGGAGAACTGATAGTGGAAATTCTCGGAGAACCGCCAAATACCACCTCTGATTGGCCCCGCCCCATCTCTTCTCTGCCTCCCATCGAGTCCCAGCTGATGGGCTGGGTCTCCTTTGGTTGCCCTGCACAGGAGAACGGAGCTGGAAAGCAGGTTGGTGGGGTGGGGAGGGAATGGGGATTTTGCAGTATCCTTCCCCTGCCGCACCCACAAAGCCATGCCATGCCCACAAAGCCACACCCACAGAACCGGTAGTAAAAAATAATTTGAATCCCACCACTGGTACGTATGTATGTATGTAAATATATTTGCCCGTTTTTTTAAAAAAAACCATTAGCAATCATGCTGAGTTAGTTGCAGTATCCTTCCCCTGCCACGCCCACCAAGCCACGCCCACAGGACCGGTAGTAAAAATGTTTGAATCCCACCACTGGTGGGCAGGCGTCTTGAGTCTGTCCTGGTGGGAACCCTGCCCATCCCTGCCTGATTGCAGAGGCTGGGAGAAAGGCCCACCCACGGCGGCCCGAACTATCTGAGGAACCGGCCTCCGCGAGGCCGTGCAAAAAGCAGCCGGAGAGATTCAGCCGCTGGGCCTCCTCTCTTTCCTCACTCACCACTGTTGAGAGACGGTGATGAAGTAGACGATGACCAGGAGTGCGACGATGAGAGCCGTTTGGAGGCAAAGGCTGCCCAGGACGGCAAGGCTGACCAGGGCTCCCTGTGGGCGCTTGAGGCCCAAGTCCTCGGCAGGCTCTGTCTTGCCCATGAGAGCGACTATCGTGGTGGTGATGATGAGATCGATGAAGAGGAACTGCCCATCACTCAGGTTGGTGTTGAGCTAAAGGAGGAGGGAGGGACAGAAGAAACGGAGAGATGCGATGGCTGCCCTGCTGAGGAGGGCAGAGCCTCTGCGTCTCAGATGCTGGGAGAGCCCAGTTCGTTGGCTTGTGTCGCCTTCCCACATCTTGGGGTTCTCCCAAGAAGCAGGTGTCAGGGCTCCGGGAGCTACCCCCATTTAAATCACGAGTCTTGAGCCAAGCTTCCAAAACTTAAAAAAGGATTTATTGGGAGTTAACATGCCGGCATTGCATGGGTGTAACTGACTCTGAGACACATCATTCATGGTCAGCCTTGACCCGGGTTTTCCCCCACCTTCTGGGTGTATCGTAATTCATATATTCTCCAATGGGACACTTCCATAGCCAGGAATCATCAATCATGCTTTCCAGTTAGAATTTTGCAGGGCAGAAACTTCGGTCACCTAGTTACTATCTTTGTGAATCAGTTTGTGTTTCCCTTCTGGGGCTCAGTGAAGGCTCCAATTCTTGCAGCTCTTTTGCACATGGCTATTTCTGTTCTCATTCAGAAGCCGCTAATTTAAGCCCATAATGTTTTAAAAAAATTCTCTTCTGGTTGCAGTGATGCGTTTTGTTTTAGTTGGGTGTGTGTGTGTGTCATTTTATGTAGTTCCCGTACCTGATGCCATCCCTTGGGCAAATCCCATGCCTGGCGCTCAGGCTTCTATACCTCGCTGCTCGTAACCTTCACCTGGACTCCAGGAGTCTGCGAGCTAAAGGGGCAGGAAGGAAAATGGCCGCCTTACCGTATATAGCAGGAGCACAGAAACAAATTGCGTGAGGCTGTAGAATGCCATGTATTTGAAGAGGCCAAAGGAGGTAACCAAAGAGCATCTTCCCTCCCTAAAGAGGAGAAATGGCCAGTCATCCTTCTGGGTTGAAGGAACACAAGGGAGGAAAAATTCTGTGCTCAGAAACTTCCATCCCGGGCAAGAAAGAGCGCTTTCTCTGCAAGCGGATGGGTCTTAAACACGGTGTCTTGAATTTCACATGGAATCTTTCACCGAGTGTCCCCCAGGAGCAACTTAACCCATTCAAGGGTGAGACGCTGCCCAGAAGCCCACGACAAAATTGGGGGGGCTGAACACTGCGGGAAGACCCTAGGGTTTCATTTCACCTAGGATCAAAGCAGTTGGAACCCCACCCCAAGCCGAGGCCATTCTTGGAATGAAAAACCTGGACAGATTTGACGGAGGGAGAAGGATGCCGTGCTTCCTAGTTCTGGGAAGTGGCCCAGTGGTCAATGTTAAATGAATCCCTGATGGGGAGGACTCCCGTTTGCTTAGCCAGGTGCTTGAAGGCTGGGAGATGGTCAACATAGCTTGTTGCAAAGGGGCAGGATTTGGATTTCCCTCTCCCAAAGAAGTCCCCGAGACCCCCGGCCTCTCCAGGAAAAAGAGAACCTGGATGGGAGAAAGGAGGCCATCGATTCCACCACCGGTGGCTCCCAAAGAGTCCATCCCACCTACCGAATGGTGATGGGGACGC